GGTTGACGGTTGGACTTGATGATCTTAGAGGTCCTTTCCAACCTTAATGATTCTATGATTCTGTGATTCACTTTGGATTATTTTCTTAACCCTTGCTCCATCTTCTCCATTACAAAATGAGGATGACACATCTTGTTGCCAGAATTGGTTATAAAAATGCTTTACGGTCTGTAGTTGAAAGTTCATGCAAGTATTTAACATAATGAAGACTCTTTGCAAGAGGACTTATTCTTGAGTGAACTGTTTAGACTGCAGTGCCCTCTGGAATGGCAACTTTGTGTGTCATCTTCAGAGCAGTTTTTTTATTCTATCCAGTGTCTTGAAGTACTTAGTGTGTGTGTTTGTGTTTACTGAGAAATGAAAGTGCTTTTACCAGCTTTTTATTAGCCAAAGTCCAAACTGTATCTACCTAGCTGTAAACTCTAGATTCCTCACAAGAGTTTTTCTCTGTGGCCTGAACCAATGGACAGGCTACAGAGAAGAGCTCTTTAAATAATCTTCCTTGTTTATATCTCAAGAGGGAGGTAACTGAGACACAGATAAGTTTTGCAGACTCTGGCATCTTACTGCTTTTGGCGCAGTGGGCAATCCAAAATTTGCACGGTTCATTTGTGAACCCTATATCGTAGTGCCTGTAGGCCTCTGACAGTTCCCGCTGTTAAAACTGAATTTTTCTGCCTGTGCTTCTGCTTTGCAGGGTTGACCGTCTCTGTTCCTGGGATGGAGAAAGCCCTGCACCAATATACACTGGAGCCTTCTGATAAACCTTTTGATATGAAAACAGTTCCACTGGCTACTGCACCAATCTTTGAACAGAAAGCAGGTAACACTCGGGCTTCATTTAAATAGGCTGTAGGCAAGGCTATAAAAGCATTCAGGTTGCCGTAATGACACTTGACGTCTGTAAACTGGTTGCTGTCCTAGTAGAGTCAGGCCAAGAGCGGAGGTGGCTCAGCTGAATGCCATACAGGTTACAGTGTCACTGGCTTTGCAGAAGCAAGCCTGCCTGATCTTCACAGATAAAGGAAGACAGCGCTTCTTCGGAGGGAATATGGGTTGGCAAGACTGTCGTTACTCGGTCTGCTAATCTTGTTATCAGAGAGGAGTTTGTACCTCATAAGAATTTCTTAGTCCGTAGATGTTTGAAAAAAGTACGTTCCAGGAGCACTTATTCACTTCACTGGCTTTCTTCCGTGTTCTTGCACAACTCTTGCATTTTGACTTTGCGCAACTTTTTTAAGAAAAGGTTTGGGGTTGGTTTTTTTTTTTTTTTCCCCCTTCTCTTCCTTCTTCCAGCTTTTTTGCTGGCTATTCTGGTCTAAAGTGTGGCGGCTTCATCATTACTCAAACATCTCTCCTCTTCTCTCCTTACAATCCAACGTTGCCTATCAGAAAAGCTATTTCAGTGTGTGAGGAACCAGGCTGGCAATGGTTTGCAGCAGAATGTGTGAAACACTACAGGTTAAGGAATTTTTAGTGGAGATACAACAGCATTTAAAACTCCTGCATGGTGTAGTTGACAGCACAATGTCTTTGCTTTTTTCTTCAGAGATTGCCCTAGTGACCAGCAAGCCTGAGAAAGTTGCACCTTCACGTCAGGATATATTCCAAGGTATGAGAGAAGATCAGCGGGTCTCCAGCGCTTGAAGTGTTGGGAGGATTGCCGCAGGTCAGACGGGAGCAATGAACGAGCCTGTCACTAAGTGTCTGTCATCTTCTTTTCCTTTCTGTGCAGAACAACTGGCAGCCATTCCAGAGTTTAAGAGCTTGGGTCCGTTATTCAAGTCTTCGGAACCAGTGCAGCTCACAGAAGCAGAAACGGAGTATTTTGTTCGTTGTATTAAACACGTGTTCACAAATCACATCGTTTTCCAGGTAAGAGAAGTTACGTGCTTTTGCCAGGGTGCAATAGGAGTTGGGCCTTAATGATGCCTGGGTGTAGCATAAACAGTGTTGTCGCTGTGCCCTGGAGAGGACAGCTTCTCTCTTAAGGGAGTTGCAAGGTAGAGTTAAGAGGGTGTGTGCTGCTTGCCTCGATGATCAAAAAAGGATGGGGGTTATGATCCCGTCTGTTAAAGAATTCTAGTGAAATTGAAGAGAAAAGCTGTTCAGTGAGAACGACAGGCTTGATCAAAGATGCGGGATGTCTGGAGTATTGTAGCTGATTTGGGGAAAAATTCTTGTTTAGAAATGTTTCTTCTATATTCAAGTCCTTTTCGATTTATTCTTCCGCAGTTTGATTGCACAAACACGTTAAATGATCAGCTGTTAGAGAGAGTCACTGTGCAGATGGAGCCGTCGGACGCTTACGACGTGATCTGTTGCATCCCAGCACCCAGCCTGGCTTACAACCAGCCGGGCATGTGTTACACCCTTGTCCAGATTCCCCAGGATGACCCCACGGCAGGTACCCATTGGGAGGGAGTAGTTCTGCGCGACAGAGCCCTCAAATGAAGTTTTTGGAGAACAGATAATAAAATGTTTAGGGTTGTGGGGTTTGGCAAGTGCATACTGAGATTCTAGTACTGTTTGTTTCTCGTGTCACACGTGCTGGTTTTTACGTAGAATCTGCGTTTGTGCAAAATAGTATACACACTTTTTACAAAATAGTATACACACTTTTTAACTAGTCAGTGGTATTGGATGATTAGAAGTGGAATGTTTAAGAGGATTGGAGAGCATGTAGGTAATACAGGAGAATGAATTTATTATCTTGAGTCAAGGAAAGGAGCACCTTTGGAAACAGATGTTTGGTAGTAGTCAGGAACAGAATCGGTAAAAGGAAAATACAAGTAGGGAAAACAAAAAGATTGGTAGTTTGGGCCTCTACATATCTGGCTAATGCAATTTTTCCTCTCTTTAGAGAATTAGAAATGACTATGAAATTTAGGAATAAGAGACTTTCTTGGACATAAAATTTCTCTTTCTTGCTTTTATTATTCACGCTTAAAAGAAACTCCATTGGATTTGCAGTTGGTTTAACATGACTCAGGTCATCAGTGGGGTAGATCTCTTGGTTATCGCTTTAATAGCAGAGGAGATCAGGAGTCTGAATTCCTTGAACTGTGGTTTTGGATCATAATCTGCTTGTCAGAAACCCTTGCAGAGTTTCTCCTGGTAGCTAATGCTAACTGGATCGCACTGCAGCACTCTGCAGTGGACCTGTGCTTGTTACACTACCGCCCTGGCATACTCCTCCCCCAAGATCCTCTTTTGGCCTTCATCTTAGAATCTGGGGGGGAAAGTTCATGTGAAGTTGAAGAATGCTTTGACTACGACCATGTCGTATCTTCTGGGGCAAAGCTAATGCACGTTCTTTCCACTCCCTCTTTGGGAAACGAGGGCTCGAGCAGAAGAAACCACACCACTAACCTATACGGGCTTTTCTTCTCCTCCCCAGTTGCTTGTACTTTCAGCTGCACAATGAAGTTCACTGTTCGAGACTGTGACCCAAACACAGGCGTGCCAGAAGATGATGGCTATGACGATGAATATGTGGTAAGTTCAGGACTTGTTTGTTTGTTTGTTTTTCCCTTGTCACTAATTCTGAATACACGTGGCCGTCAGGTTGATGGTTTCCTTTCAGATCTGAAGCCAGTAGGAAAGAACGGCAGGCCTGCCTGAAACACCATTTCCAAAATACGGCAGCTTGTGACTTTAGACCTTTCCTCAAAACCTTGCTTCTGCCAATAGTTTAGCTTTAGTGCCCTGTGGAGGTAGGATTTGTGGGGACAGATAGGAAGAAAGGAATAAGAAAGGAAAAATACTGCTGGATTTGTGGGGACAGATAGGAAGAAAGGAGTAACTTCCATTGCCGTTTTTCAGAACTGTGGCCCAGTCTTTCTCTCCACCCTAAACATTTGCACTTCTGTTTATTGTGTTCATGTTATCGATCACTGAAATACAAGTCGGATCTCAGGAAAGCACCTGCCTTTTGGGCTTGGAGCAAGTAAAGGCTCCTTCTGGATTCTGAGAAGGTCTCTCTCCTCAGATGCCCAGTAAGGGCTAGAAGGGGCTTTGACTCACAAAGCGATTGCCCCATTTTCTACTCTCCTTTGATCTCACTGGTGTTTCAGTGTGTTTTTAAACTTTACAGATGATCACCACAAATACTATTTTTCCTCTCTGCTTTTTAGATGCTATTATTATAGGCTTCTGAAATTTAAAACCAGGCATGCCAGAGTTGTCTTGGCAACATGCTGCTGTCTCTCTTTGTCTTTCTTTCCCTTTCTAAGATTAGGATCATTTCTGTAACTGGCAGCTGAAAATCTCCCTTGCTTTTCTGTCAGTTGGAAGATTTGGAGGTGACCGTGTCTGATCATATTCAGAAGGTTTTAAAGCCTAACTTCGCAGCTGCGTGGGAAGAAGTGGGAGATGACTTTGAGAAAGAAGAAACCTTTGCACTTAGTTCAATTAAAACCCTTGATGGTGAGATGATCTCTCCTCGTTTATTGGTGACCCACATAGTAATCCCGGTAAATCTGCCGTGCTGGAGATATATTTAGTGTGGTAGGAGGAGAATTTGGTGCCTTCCAATGTGACATTATGTCCCAGCAACAAGGCTTTGTGTTGCAATGCTGGGATTACAGTGAGTGGAAGCTTGGCAGTGCTCTCTTGCTTGAGGCTGGTTGAAGGGAGGGGTGCATTCCTAGGCTGTTAAGACAGCAGAAGGGACACGGCAAGGTGTTGGTTGGGCTGCAATGAAGATAATGAATGGAAGTGGTTAAGCCACATGGGCGCTTAGAGAATGTTCTTTAATTGCAAGCTAGTTCTCACAGAAAGCTTGGCACCAACCTGGAGGTAATTTTCTTGTTCAATCTCTGAATGCAGAAGCTGTCAATAACATCATCAAGTTTTTGGGCATGCAGCCCTGTGAGAGATCAGATAAAGTGCCAGAGAACAAAAATTCTCACACGCTCTACTTAGCTGGTAAGTATTCGTTCTGTTGAACTCGCTGTTTCCGTGTCCCCACAGATTTTTTTTTTTTAATTTTTTTTTGACTAAGTGAAGGGAAATGGATTAGGAGATTCTGCTCTTGTTTTGAGAGATTTTTCTCTACAGAAAGCTGAAGTGAACCAGCGAGTTAAACGGAGCTGGTGCTAATTTGGAGCCTGCGGTTGCAGGTGTACTTAGGCTAGGCTCTGCGTCTTTCAGAATGGAGATATTCTACCTATGGGAACAGCAGTGAATCTTTTGAATGAAGAACTTTCAGAGCAGACACCTAACTAAATTCCTTGCCTGAGATTATCTCAGAAGGGGGTTCCTAGGACCATCTTGTTTTCAAGTTCCTGTCACTAAAGACACATCCTGAATTGGCCTGCAGTGCCCCACAACTTCTTGTTTGGCGACTGTGGTCCAGGCATACAGTTTTGGGCAATCCCTGGAAGTGAAGCGCTCTACAAAACTTTATTGCAGTTATTAAAGCAAAACTGCAATGAACATGACAGAAGGGTTGGCTCTCATTTCAGAGGCAGAATTGGTAACTCCAGGTCTGTCTGTGTAGTGATGTTGAAGTGGGACTGGAGATGGCTCGTCCTGCAGTCTTAATTGCCTCCAGGAGCACCACTTCCAAGCCCTCTAGTAGAAGCATAGGAGGACTATTCCTCCCTTAACAGCAGGGGCACTGAGCCAACAGACTGCCTTCACAGAAGAATTACAATATGTCTTGCCTTCTCAAACTGGAAGTGAGCTTCAGCTACCCATTTTCTGGTTTCTACCTATTTAAATCAGCCTAGTCCTCCAGCAGCACTTGCTGACTCTGTTTGATTAGGACAGTATCTGTTATCTTCAGCCATGGCCTCAAGAGCTTAGAGGATTTGGGGGGTTTGGTATTTTTTTGTCACTTCCCCTCCTCTCTGCAACTGGCCGTAGACTGAATCTGTCTTGTACTCACCAGGTTGTTGGCTCCTGGGTTAGGACTAGATCACTGAGCCTCTCTTACATTAATCTCTCAAATGTTGCTTTGTCCCCAGGTGTATACAGAGGTGGCTGCGATGTGCTGGTAAGGTCCAGGCTTGCGCTAGGAGATGGCGTGACCATGCAGGTGACGGTTAGGAGCAAGGAAGAGACGCCCGTAGATGTCATCCTGGCTTCTGTAGGCTGAGTGTTACAGCGCATCGACTGTGGTGGAAACCTCCTTTGCAAGCACCGGTTGAGTATTTACTGGATATCAAGCAGCCTGTCTGTCCTTCTGCATGTAGTTTTTATTCCTCAATTTGGTAAATATTTTGTATGATGTTACAGTAGTGGCAGTAGTGGCTGGCTGGTACTGAGCCTTTCCTGTGTCCCCTCCCTCGTTGTCACTTACACATTCCTGTCTAACTTATTGCATCTCTGGCCACTTGCAGTAGAGCAGGGAAGATAAAAGATGCAGGTGGTAAGAAAATGGAATCAGACTTTTGTCAAAACTGATTTTTATTAACAGAAAATAAACACTGGTCCAAGTGGTGGAATTCATATGAATTACTGTTAATAAAATAGAAATTTCTTGTTCTAATTCTGTCTGCTTCAGTACAGAAGAAGTAGCCCCTAAGGGCTGTTTACTCAGCAGAAGCCCCTTATTCCTAAAGGGATGCTATTAAATTTCAAACATAGGCTGTTAAAAACCACACAAAACCTGCAGATTCTACCAACCTGTAAGTTTACAATTTGTTGATGATGGTCTCCTCTGTTCCGCACAGAAAAATCAATGTACAGAGAGAGAGATTAAACCTCACCTATCAAGGCATATTCAATTCTCTGAGCCTTATGCCAGGTAATACCAAACAACAGTGCAGCCTTTTCCTGGGCTCGAAGACGTGAAACATCTTGTATCAAAAGTTGGGAAGAGAGAGGGAAGGAGGGACCTTGCGGTGACTTCCTTGTGAGGGAAGTTCTGCATCTTTCTGCTGCTGAATTGGTGTTTCTTTAGTTATCAAGTCAGGGTGAGGAAGGAAGGAAGGAATACTATTTTAATGCTAACTTAAACACCTGTCCCAGATCCCGGTGGCTGGAATAGCTATTGCTCAGAAGAACACCTTGGCTTTTGCTAGTGCCAGTATTGCATATTCGGCTTGCTCTAGTGAAACAGGTACGAGCCTGCCCTGGTAGAACTGCGTGCTACAGCCGAGCTTCGGGGAAGCTCCTGAGATAGTCCCAGGGGTGTAGTGTCAGTGAGTGGCTCTGCTTGTTGAACTGAAAGTCGGAGAAACAAGGGATGTGGTAAAAACTTGAGGTTTAGAGCTTGCCTTTGGGTAACTGGCCATTAAAAAGAAATTACTGAAGACATAATTGCAAGGCTTAAATGCCCCTTTATGCGTGCAGAGCATCATTGCCTATACTTTGGGGGATTACAGATCCAGCTCTCCTGCTGTATTTAGTGTAGGCAAACTCAGTTTCAAATTCTTCAGTCCTGACAAGCTGGCCAAGTTTATGACACTTAGCAGAGGGATATAATTTAAACTGCATGCACACAACTCAAAAAAAAACCAGACCAGCATCCATCTTGGGAATACGTGCATCGACCCTTGGCTGCTGGCGGTCCTGCCGACCTGTGGCACGCAGCATAGCCTAGCAATGAAGGCAAGTAAGGACTCTTGAACTGACATACGTGCTCTGCCTCCCCTCAGGTGCCCCTGTTCTCCCTTGAGCCCTCCTGGCCCTAAATACAGAGACAGGCCGGTCAAGAAGCAAGGTGAGCGCAGGGCTCAGGGAAGAGGGAAGAGCCATCAGCCTCCTGTACCTCTGCTTAGGCTGACAGTTTAGTTCATGCCTCCCCGCAGGCTAATCTTTTTCCGGTGCTCAAAGGATTTAACTGCATAAATGCAGCAGTTTGGCAGCCAAAGATTAGGGTGTTAGTGCAAAGTGTTGGACCTGGAGATAAAATCAAGGTTTCTTCCTGCCCCCAAAGCCTGACTCATAAACAGAGAGTGAGAACTGAGCTGCAGCAGCTCAGAAGGAGTTGATGAAGTTCAGATAAGCGTTCAGGAAGCCTGTCGGATCCTCCAGCTGTGGATAGTGGCTAATGTGGTCGTCCAGCACAGACACCGTGGACATGGGAAGCACCTTCCTGTTGGAAGAATGCAGGAAGGCTTAAGCACAGGAACTGCAGCAGGCTCGGCCCGTAGCCAGCCAGATGCTACCGGTGAGGAGGACAGTACCCTCTTGCACAGCTGGGATTCTGCCCATAACATGGTTTGGGGACAAAAAAGCCTGTAGCAGCTACAGTTGACCACTCTTCCAAGTGCTGGATTTACTTCAGGTTAGTTTGGAGGAGACGACTACCTCCGTCAATAAATCTTACCTCTGTCTGATGTGGTTTTAAAATGCATGATTGATTTGACTGAGAATTGTGACTCTGATGCCTAAAAAGGGGAAGCAATTTCCAAACTGCAGAAGGCTCCAACTGAATCACGTAGCTGTGCAGGTTACAGGTAGGAATTAAAAACAGCCTCCATGAAAAGGGAATTGAAGGAAAGGTCGGAGACACAATCTCCCTCGAAATGGAACCCCGGTTGCGTATTCCCACTTTGTGGTGGGTATTGTCTTACTTGTAAAGCTGAAGAAACTCTGGGTGTGGATTCACAGGGTCCAGGGGCCCATAGATTAGATGCACTGCAAGAGAGAAGCACAGACAGAGCTTCTATACCCAAGGACATCCCTAAACCAAGCCAGGGAGGCCTGCTGCAGGCACCTTCCCCCCAGCTAGCACGGAGCTTGGGAAGCTTTCAGCAGAGCACTGAGTAAACCAGCTGCCGAAAGGGCTCCTGCTTCTCTGCCCTGGGGTCAAGTTCAGCCTCTGACCCTCCTCCTGCAAACATCAAACCTTTCCTTGAGTGGTTGCAACTTCTTTTGAGCTTGAAAAGCACCTCGGCTTCCCTGGGGCAGCAGCTGGAGAAACGGGAGGCTGTGAACCAGCCTCTAAAGGAGAGTGGAACAAACTCTCTTTCATCTTAACAAGCTCACGGCCCTCCGCTGTAACCGAGCCTTAAACTGGAGCAGGGAGGTTTGCTACCCCCTGCACAAAGCAGATTTGAGCCACGTCGTCCTCGTCAGGATAACGAGAGGCTCCAGCGCTTAGTGGAAGGAGCCAGCACCGGCCTCCAGTGCCTGCAGGCGAGGGCGGCGATTCCCAACATCCCGACCAGTAAATCAAAGAAAATGGATTCCTACTCACGTGGGACAGAGGTGGACATCAAAGCCCCAACCCAGCGGTCTCTGTGCTTCTTTCTCTGGTTTATGTACTGCAAAATACTGAAGAGAAACCTGTTGTTACGCAGCGGACGGTGCCTCGAGGTGCTGCACAGCCTGGAAATTGCTCTCAGGGCACTGTATGCCTGTGCAATGAGACCAAGGTGGAATCTGCATCTCCCACGGACCGCCTCCTTGGGGCAGCAGCGGCACAAAATCGGTCTGCTGACCATCCCCGAGCTTAGCGAACTGCCCAAGGTGGTTTTGGTTTGTTTTTTTTTTTTTTAATTTAGACAGTTAGCAAATAAAAGTGCAACTGAGGTTGGGGCCCTGACTCCAGGTCTCGCCCCTGCCAGCTCTGTGCTCCAAGAGTCCTACTGGAGGATAACGCAAGTTCATTTAGGAAGGGGGAAACAGCCCGTAGTCTGGGGAGATAGGAGGATGGAGTTCGAATCCTTCCCGACTGAGATGGAAGCAAATTTGGGTCCTCTGCGCCCAGTCAAATGCCACTGGGTTGTTCAAGGGGGTGAACCATCGTAACCCTTGTGCCAGGCGGCACAGTAAGTCACAGCGGGCTGCAGGCAGCCGGCAACCGAGCACCGAAAGGTTGGTTACCCCCAAGCCCCCTTAACAAACTCGATGCTGCTTCGCTTGGGCAGCAGGACAAAAAGCAGGTTTGCAATTGGATCCTACAAAATGTCGGGGCAGAAATCGGTCTGCTGAAAGCCAACGCGGGGGCAGCGCCGCCTGCGTGCTCCCGTGCTCGGCTCACAGGCATTGCAGCGGCTCTGAAACCATTTCAGTGCCCCACAGAAGAGGAGTCAACACTGAACTACGGAGTGTGGGGGAATGCAGGAGAAGATAAATTGCACTGGTCAGGTCTTGCAGTGAAAATCTGAACTGCTAAGGGTTCCTCAGCTTGTCTCGTCATCCCAGCCAGCGACTCGGGGTGACTCCTTGCTTCAGCAGAGCTCTCAGGGGCTGAGGCTCACAACTTAAACATCAGGTTCAAGTCAGTTGGGTTATAAAAAGCCTTCCAAGGATGGGAAGCTACACTAAATAAACATACCAATACTCTGACACACGACATTTAAAGGATGGAGGTACTTGGGCACTGAGCTTCCCATCACAGCTGTGCTGCCAGCAAAGGTGACATTGCAAAAATTTGCCATGACGGGACTTGCCGAGTGGGCAGCGTGTCAGACGTGTCCATTGCTGGGCTTGGGCGAGTGTCCCTCGTTATAAGAGGCAATTAGCAGGCGCCTTTTGGAGAGGCTGAGCTATTTGGTCCTTACTGTGTTTTGTGATTTGGCCAGAGATTGTACCCAGCGGGAAGAGAGAGGAGTTGACACGCTGGGGGAGAAGGACACACACAGGCCCCACTGAACGGGGATACTGAACTCGCAACCATGAGCCCGAGGTCCTTCCAAAAGTCCCGAACTGGAGAAAACCAGATTTAGCTCCAGCTGTTAACAAAACCCCACAAATTCAAGCCCCTAATTGCCAAAGAAGAAAAAAAACCCCATATTGTACATGTCCAGCGTTGTCCTCCTCCCACCACGTGCAGGCTCAGATCCTCCTGACTCCAGATTTCATTTACCTGCCTTGCATCATCCCAGCAGGAATCCCTGCTCCTACGTCACACCCCAGCTCTTTTTTTGGGGGGCAACGATGATCCCAGACCCCAGTGGAAGCAGCTGGAGGCTCCGGGGAGCCAACGTCCAGGGACCTGGCCGAGGTCCGGTAACCTCCGAGCCGCTGCATGGCTCTGCCTGCAAACAGAGGGACGCCGCGGGTGTAAAACTAAGCTTGTGCAGCAATTAACGGCGACGTACCTGTCAACAACGAGATTGCCGTCATTGGTCCGCACCGCCGTCCACATGTCCCAGTACTCTGCCTGCGAAGGCTGCGTGTAGGGCCCGAAGACTGCCCCGAGCCTGAAAAAAAAAAAGAGTTCAGAGCGGCACGGCAGCAGCCGTGTTATCGGACGGCTCAAAAACTAGCCGAGGGCAAAGAACAGTCGAGCGCTTCCAGCTTCCACTGTGAAATACGTGGGCGCCAGCGCAGCGCTGCAAGTCATCCCCCAAAGGCACCCAGTGTTGGACTTAGCAGCCAGTCCAAAAGGCTTTTTTGGAAAAAAAGGAGGTTTGCAACATCTGATAAAAATATGTATCTGATTGCGCACCGTATGTAGAGTGCGGTTAGGGTTTTCATTGCCTCTGTAACACGCGCAAGTCCAATATTCGTGGGAGGGAAGGATTTCAGTGTACAGCGGAAAGCCCTGTGGTTTATTATTAGGCTGAAGTGCTTTGCCAACCTGGAGAGGAAATGGCCTGGAGGATCAAGGTCATTCAAATCCAGGGGCAAATCTCTCCTGGGACGGTGCCGGGGGATCCGCTCACCTGCCAAATACCCGCTAGACTAATTCCTACGTTGGCCGCCTCCCCGCTTGGCCCACACCCCCCCGTACGGACTGTGCCAGGCAGCACGGAGACCCGACTCACCCTCTGGAGAAGAAAAAGAAGTTCATTAGCCGCGTGATGATGGGAGACAGCAAACCCCCATCCTTGAGGATCTTGGGCAGAAGGAAAAAAAAGAGACAGTACCACTTGGTATCGTACAGATGGGTAAATCCTGCCTCCCCGGAGGGCTTTTCCCCCGGCTCCCCATATCGCAGCAGTTTCCCCGTCCCTTGGTAATGCCGAGATGGACGCGAGCTCTCAACAGTGAGACATCGGCGCTTCAAGGGGTGATTAGCCGGGATGTTCAGATGAGATGAGCCGCGTCCTGACAGCCCCTGCTTCTCCCCACCGCCTCTAACGATGCCTGTGAGCAGCTCAGGTGCCGTTACCGAAGCGGGAAAAGCAGCAGGCATCTGAGCCAGGTAAAACCCCACACTCACAGAGTCAGACGTCTGCTTGAGGGGCGATTCAGTACGACTAGAGAGGGTAGCAGCTCACCTTCTGGATGAACCGGGGGTAGTGCGTTTCGGGGAAAATCCCTGGAAGGATGTCAAAGAACAGAGTTGTAATGCTGCAAGTGTTCTGCTCCGCGTCTCCCGGTCTCTCCCCTTCTTTGTGGTGCCACGAAAGGCACCGCAAATGCAGCCCGAGGACTGATGCTCCCGGTTAATTACAGCACCTTAATCGCAATGTGCTTGGGGTTCGGGTGGTGCTTTCCCTGGGGTGATGGAGACGGGAAGGCCATCCCGTCCCATGGATCCCCAACCCTTTCAGCCCACCCCATGCCACCACGCCAGGCAAACCTTACCTCCGTTGGATAAACAGAGGCTGTTGATTAAGATGCTTCCAGTTTTATTGTGCTCATACCTGGGGGACAGAAGAGAAGGTGGTGAAACACAACTAGAGCTCTCCAGGCTCCAAGAAGTGACTGACCAGCAGGTCAAATTAACACAAATTAGTGTCATATCGTCTCTGCTCCCCTGCTGTCACTGGCTTGATGAGAAGGAGCTCAGGAGGGAAGTTAAATGTCCTAGCAGCTGGGATTTTATGGATGGGAGCCTCAGATCTGCCCACCGTGGATGTGCCCTGAGGCCTCCCAGCCTTTGTTACAGCTGTAGGTACAGGGGAAAGGGGGTTCTGCGCTACGTCCTTCCACTTATCTGCTGGAAATCATCTTGACGGGGACAACAAAGAGCAGCCAGAGCATCAGTGGTTGCAGTGACCTGTGGAGCAGCTCCTGTGCAACCGTATCCCCATAATCGTGGGACAGGAGATTGATCCTCTGGTGGCGGAGGCCGAGGTGACGCACCAGCCCCTCGACGATGCTGGCTTGCTCGAAGATGGAGTAGCGGTGGGGCCTCTGCGAAGCAAAGCGGGAGAGGAGACGCAGTGAGAGCCTGACCCACCATGAGCCCGCAAACTCCAGAATAAACACCCAAATGGAGGAAGATGGGGTGGAAACCAGGAGTTTGCGACCCTGGACAGAGCAGTTGGGATGTCCTGGGCCAGCAGCTACGTCCACAAGCCCACAGGAGCACTGCCCATGCCCTAAAGGGGTCAAGGCGCGCTTTGGAGTCACGTCAAATGGCAAGACGGTGACAGAGCTGATCTCCACCACAAACCTTCTCCATCCTTTCCACTATTATAATCTTATTCCTTTTCCAGATGTAAATGGGAGAAGAAACTGGACTGCAAATGCCAATTTTCCGGGGATGCTGGCACGGCAGAACAACCTCTGGGCCAAAAGCAACTGCAAAAATCCTCTTCCCAGGCTACTTACAGGCTTGTCGCTGAAACCGAATCCTACGAAATCCAGAGCAATCACCCGGTGAAACCGCTGGGTCAGCCCTTCCCAGATCTGGAAGAGAAATGCATTAAAAAAAATGGCTGACGGGAGCAGAGAGAGGAAAAGACTGCGGCGATGCGCAGCTGCGGATGGCCACACTCCCCTCCGCTCCCCTCCGCTCCCCCAGACAGCACCTTCCAACTCCAAGAAAACTGCAGGAGGTTGAAATTTCCCAATAAACAGCGAGACCGTCCCCCAGCAAAGCCAAGAAATAGTTGTGGGTCTTTTCCTCCTGCTTTGGGCTGGAGTGTGGGAAAGGGCGACGTGAAAAGAGCTTGGCTCCTCTGCAAGGCGTCGGGAGAGGAACAGGGCTGGTATCCCGGCGCGCGGTGGTACCCCCAGCAGAAGCTCCTCCGGAGCATTGCCCACCCTGCGCTGAGCCACCACCCGTTGTCTGTCTGCTCGTCCCCGGGAGGGAGAAACCGCGGGGTTTGCTGTTGGCATCCGACCCCCCGTGCACTCGCTCCCCTCACCTTGCACCAGTCGTAGCTGGAGGTTGGGAAGCCGTGCAGGAGGACGACGACGTCGGAGCTGCCGACGGCGCCGGTCGAATCTGAGGAGGGAACGGGACACCTCAGGGTCAGCTTCCCCCCACCCTTCCCCCAGTTTCTTCCCCTGTAAGCCAGGCGTTGCCGTTCGCCCCGCTGGGAGCCCAACCAGCAGCATGGCATTACCTCTCCCCCCGCTTCCCCCAAAACCAAGCATGGGTTTGCGCGTGGCTTCGGAAACCCGGCCTGACGAGCCCCCACGGCCGCCAGCACCGGCTACTTGATGCAAACCAGGGTTTTATTTAGCAAAATTTAATGGCAGCTGCCCCTAAGTTGCTACGATGGGTGACAACCAATCCAGCAAAAAGGTTTTTCGGCATCTTTTCCTTGCTGTGACCCGTCAGAGGCTCTTGGGATCCTTCCCCGCCAACACCAAGGTATTGTCACCGCTGCGCAAGAGCCAACCTTCGTGGCTTCACCCAATTAAAATGTTTTGATAACGAACAGCCACACTGCGCCTGGATCCACGCAGCAGCTCCCCTTAAAGCCGTTACGTTGGGAGGGATTTGCCATCTCCCTGCCTGGCCTTGGGGACATCCCCGGGGCCACCGAGGGGAGCAGAACCCCCAGCTCCGCTCCCCACCGGGACAGACGAGGTGTCCCCAGGGCTCGGCGCGGCCCCGTCACCTCTGTAGAAGATGTTCTGGTCCTTGTAGCTGAAGTAGCCTCCGGAGGACCTCCAGGAGAGGAGAGCCGGGGAGAGCTTGGGGGGCGGGATGTGCAGGTAGACGGCGAGGAGGGGCACGCTCAGCAGCCCCACCTGCACCCACCACTCCTTCATCCTGCGGGAGAGAGCGAGGCGCCTGTCTACCGGGATTTGCCCCGTAACCCCCACGTCCCCATAACCCACCTCCACGTCCCCAAAACCCTCACATACCCGTAACCTGCACCTCCCCAGGGTGGCAGGTCCATGACAGAAAGTGATCTCTGCAGTAAAGGTTAGGGGGTCTGAGGGGGGACATGGGCCCCATTCATGAAGTTTAACAAGGCCAAGTGCAAGGTCCTGCACCTGGGTCGGGGCAACCCCCGGTATCAATCCAGGCTGGGGGATGAAGGGATTGAGAGCAGCCCTGCCGAGAAGGACTTGGGGGTACTGGTGGGTGAAAAGCTGGACATGAGCCAGCAATGTGCGCTCGCAGCCCAGAAGGCCAATCGTA